ACTCACGGTGCTTATCGCCCGCTTGACTCAAATATCTGTGTCCATATCTTCAATCTCTCTATCTGCTATCAATTCTCCCGCTTTATTTGCCATGCTTATATACTGTTACGTCTCGTTTGTTAATTTCCCCCAGAAATTCTTCCCGAGAAACTTCAGCGATACAAGTCCTTTCTTAATAAAACTAGTCTATTCTTTCTCAATACAACTTTGCGATACACTTAATTTCCACACTTCAACACACGCTACAATTCTCAACAAACGATTCACGCACTTTTCTTACTACCGCGCTTGACTCAATTGTCCGTCTATATCTTCAATCTCTCTGTCTGCTATTCTATCTATCCCGATTCTTTGTCTGGCGCACTTATATACAAGAATAGAAAGTGCCTAGCTAATACTGGATTATTCGTGATGTTCCAGGGTCACGTGACTTCCGCTAACGTAACAATATGATGAGAGCGCGCGTCTAGCAAACGCAAGGATGTTCGACAGGTTTCTCGATCTTTCTAGAACTCCAGCGCATGCTCCCATGATCGCGTGACATCCGCTGTTGTAACAATATATATTAAATAAATAAATGAAAAACTGTTTGATATTCTGAGTATAGATAATTAAATCTCTGTTACATTAACCACTAAGTTTACGTCTTAGTTTGGTGTGCAACAGTGATTCTGAAATCATACCAGTACTTCTCGCATCTACCAACCTTTTTGAAAAAAGTTGCACAAATTACGCAGCATTTGTAACTTCAAGATTCTAAGAGTCTATGTACAGTCACTAATATGATTGTGAGAAAGTTACGAATCTAAGCTTTTTCATGTGTTACTCTTTTTTGAATATTAATCAGTCAACTCTTCTTGAAAATATATTATTTTGTAGTTGCGTTGGCATCTGTTGCTATTCATCTATTTTTAGTGAAGGAAAATCTAATATAATAAGTTATTATCATAGGTAATTTGTTTCAAACTCCGCCTTTTCTTTAGGCTTGCACAATACAAGCTTTTTCATAGGTTATGAACTTTTCAACGCTGTACGCGAAGAAAAAACTTGTTCTGAGTATTCCTCAGCACGAGTTGAGTGAAAGAAGCTTTCAATATGTAAGACTTGTGTTGAGAAACATATAAATATAAGTTTAAATTATATTGATACTTTCATGTATATACACATTCACTAATTTAATAAATTAATCTCACTTGCAAAGAGTAGTTATTTAATACTCTTAATACTGAAATTTGCCTGTTTGTAAATTTAACTTTTAGTTTTAAGTAACGCCACAGTATTCGCAGCTCAATCTTAAAGAGTAACGTGTTTGTATAACGTTTTTGTTTGTGAATCTTACGATTCTTGCCGCAGCTACTACACGTTACGTTGAGAGCCATGTAACGTTTTATAATGTAGATTAGAAGTAAGCTAGACATATTGCGTATGTGATATTTAAGTGTTTTTTGCTAAGTCTTTTTTTTTATATAAAAGTGAGGATTTATTATGCACTCCGTATTTTTTTAAATGATTTATGGTATAGACTTCCATTACTGAAAGGCCAACAAAACCGCCAGATGTTGAAATTTACTAAAATAATGTTATTAAATCGGCCGTAAAAATTTGCACATCTAAGCCTAACCGATTAGCTGTAGGCCTAACGGAAACAAAACGGATTGTTACATATGTGTTAGGCCTTATTTAACATTTTTCTTTATGCTTTTAACTTAACAATAACAGTCACAAAGATCATGATTCTTAATAAAGACTTAAAACCTTTTAAAGATTGTGTTTACAGGGATTTTAAAACCTAATATAAACACATACCCAAAACGTTCAAAACAATTTATTTGTTAGAAAAAAAAAACGCAGAGGTGAATGATAATTAATAATATTAATTAGTATAATACATACTGTATCATATGGTGTACCACTACCAGTGTCATTCATAATCATATACAAAGTGTATCCAAACTAAATGCTACATAAAAATATAAAGTGATCAAGCGATTTTATATTTGAATAAATGTTGATTATATGACATTATTTTTATGAAGGAGTGTTGATTGCACGATTCAAGGAACACTATTTAGTTGAAACTCAAAGTACAAGTGGATTTGAATTATCGGAAACATTTTTTTAAAGCACTTTAGGCTGAGAATAATTTTTGGGAATGTGTATGAAATACAGCAATCATTGAAACATAAAATTTATTAATGCTAGTGACTCTGCTTAAAAATAACTGATAGAAAAGAAAAGTAAAAAGTTTATATCTATCGGGTGTTATTCCACAATACCAATGTGATTTTAAAAACTGAGGAGCTTAAGTTTTGACGCTTTTAATTCTTTATTAAAGGGTGTTTTCAACAACTGAAATTAGCAATTTTATGAGATATACTACACGTAAGTAGCAGCAGTAGAGCAATATTTTTTGTATTAGTTATGGTTTTAAACCATTCTGTATACCTCCCTATATATGTATGTATTGTGAGTGTTTGAATATATGTAATTTATATTGGAGAAAAATGCATATAAAAGATTTCCAATTTTTGAAAAAGTTAATGGCCATTTTTTCCATAAAAATGATATAAGCTTACATGCATTTTCAGAAAATTTTCAATTTTCTCTTGCACCAAGTAAAATTGAGCTGCGTGTACATTTAGTATACATAAACTTGAATAATCAATTTTTAAAATGGACTCCTTTTAACTTGAAATAAGATTTCACAATAGATCTCAAAAGTCATAGAAAAAATTGGAAAATTGTTTAGGAAATAGGAAAATTAGAAAAGTAGATGTAAGTTAAGATTTGTTATAATTCAAAAACAAATAATGCTAATTATGATAGGCATTTATTTTAATACAGAAATACGAAAAGGGATATATTTTTGCTTGATGTGGGAGTTTTAAAAAAACAGCATTATACAGCGTATATTTAGTCTGACTTTTTAATTATTTAATGTTATTAAGTAAAGTAAGAATAATTTTACCATTTCACATTAAAAAAATTTTATATATTTGAATCTAAAAACTTCCGAGACACTAATATGTATGCACATGTACTAAAATGGTGTTTTACTTAAAAGTTGTTTCAGGGAACTATTAAGAAGATTGCTAAGTAAACTTGCATATGTTTTGCTTTTTAATAACTATAACTTTTAGAATGAACAAAATCACTCAAATTGTCATATTGAATTACAAGTTGATTAAATAGAAACACTGAAACATCCAGTTACTGCCAAAGAGTAAGTACTGTTATTGGTTAGCTTAAAATTGTTATCATAAACATGACTTTTATGCTGGGAAATGGTTTTTGAAATGTTGATCGTGTGGAATAATGTTTTTTAAACATGTAGATTATTATGCTAGTACCTGAACTGTAAACTCCTGAAATCTACCTGCAGTTGCACGTTGTAACAATCAGGCATTTGACAATCAGAGTTGTTTTCTCTGTTAATAAGAGAAATGGCTTCCTTCCATTATGTAGCTCTCTTTGAGAACAGAGAGGAAATTAATTATTGCATTTTAAATTTTATATTTGAAAAATTTTGTATATTAAAAAATATATAGCATTTTAAGCAATATCATTTTCTTTCTATTCAAGGAATGTTGGTTGATATGAACATTCATGTTACTGCCAGCCTGTGTTTACCCTGGTGTGCAATACCCAGTGTTAATTAAAAGTATAACAAGACATGCAGTTTATTCATGATATAGCCATAGTCATAAGTATGGCCTTTCACTGTCGAAGAAGTTGGTTCTGTATCGTGTGTCTTTATGCTGTTTGTGTATCTGATAGAGGACAGTCTGCTTCCGGGCAACAACCAGGCAAAGGTATGTTGTTTTTTGTTGTTGCTGTGTTTTATATTAGTGTGAAATATTTAAAAAGTGACATTGTAAATGTGAACAATTTTCTGGCATTGTTGAGTAGGTATAAAGATGGATTGTAAATGTTTTTGTGACAATTATAACTTTTAAGTGGGGTGGAAAACCTTCTACCTCATGCACACAAAAAAAATGTTTACCGTATCAAATCATACTATAGCATTTAAAAATAAAGAATAAACACCAAAAAGTTGTACAATGACCTTTGTGGAAGCATGGTGGTGTACCAAAAGGAGTGGGGAGAGAGGGGGTTCAGCTGGGTCTGGGGTGACCTTCACTGACCATGAGGAAGGTGCAGGACTTGCTTGTTTGTTTTTTCTAGATGTGGTATAGTACTCCTATGTTATCTTCTGCATTGACACGGTGTTGGTTGTGAATAACACGACTCATATTTTATAGTATGTAAAGTATTCGCTTTATGTGTTGTGATTTTGTATTTTAAATGGGTTTTTCTGATTTGCTATATGTTAACTAATTATTTGTGTGTGTTTATAATCCAGGGGTTGTGCTTCTGGTATAGTAGTACTGTATAATGTAAAAGTGTAATTTAATACAGATTGTAATTTTATCCTACATTAATATATATTTAATGCAGGTGTGTTTTGTAAAAATAGGCAGATATATACGTACGTACTTACACACGTATATTTTTTTCAGTTTGTCAGAACATAGATATTCGTAACTCTGTAGAACAGTTTAAGAAGATTGAAAACTGCACTGTAGTTGAAGGGTTTCTTCAAATTGTTTTGATTGACAATGGAACTTCCAAAAGCTATGAAAACCTATCATTTCCCAAACTCCGTGAAATAACAGGCTACTTGTTGTTATATCGTGCATTTGGTATGACTTCAATAGGGAAGTTATTTCCAGAACTGACAGTGATAAGAGGCAATGTGTTGTTCCAGAACTATGCTTTAGTTATTTATGAAATGTTTCAGCTTCAAGAAATCGGACTAAAAAGCCTAACAAACATTATTCGAGGGTCTGTTCGGATAGAAAAAAATCCAAATCTTTGCTATGTGAAAAGTATTGATTGGGATCTTATTGCCAAATCTGGTCAAGGAGGCCATTTCATTAAACACAATCAACCTTCACGAGAATGTCCAAATGCTTGTCAATCACATTGTCCTCTCAACACCAGGAGTGGGCCAATTTCTCAACGATTATGCTGGAATTCTCAGTGGTGCCAAAAAGGTATTCTCTCTTTTTTACATTTTTATAACAATGGATGTGTGATCTAATTTAGTGATACTTAAAATAAATATCAACATTTTAGATTGACCTGTAAAATTTTCTCAGTAAAAACGTTGTAGAGTTCCTATTGCAGAATGTCAAATTTGTTTTGTTTTTTTACAGCCACTGGAAGGAAAAGTTTTGCAAGCAGATTCTGTTTTTTTTAGTGGTTTTTTTCAATAAGAATTATTTATGATCACAGTTGTAATCTCATAAAATTGTAGGAGAATGAATGTTTCTTATTTTTGATCTTATAATTGAATCAGTCTTAAACCTATAAAAAATTTGACCTAAATACCTATGTGCAATAGTAATGGGATATTTGTTAATACAATAAACTGGAATTTCACAAAATTTGCAAAGAGAATCCATCATAAGAAAGTATTTTTAGCAAATTAATGTTCATTTTTCAGAAATGTGTAATATGTTTTTATTTTAAATTAGTATTCATGTTTTTAATGGTAATAACAAAATAAAACTATCAAATATTGCTTGCTTATAATTTGAAATGCATACAATATTGGTTTTTGTAGATCTACATCTTTTAAAAAATGGATTTATGTATTGTAGCAGTAACAATTACAAATAAAGAATTAATGCTTAATATTTTTCACCAAAGAAATATGCCATAAATTGACAATTTTCTTTCTCTAGGTAGTAAGTTTAGAGATAAAATTAATATGAAGATCTGTGTGCTAAGCAGTTGTTAATAGTGGACTGTTTTACGCTGAATACTCCAGTTTTTTCTTTACATGTTAAAAGGGCATTTTGATCACATTATGTGATTGTTAGTTATTCCAATTTTTTGTAATATAGAACACTATAATTATGATCCATTATCTCCATGCTTGAAGATGTATCTGTTTTTTATAATTCAAAAATTTATGTGAATTATTATTTCTATCTAATTACTTAGTTATTGAACTCTCTCAACATGGGCTTGGTCAATTTGACTGAATGCATGACCTCTTTGTACTTGTTTAAAGTCTTTATAGTTTTGATACTACTAACTTTTAATATAGTATGTATATCTTCACAAAATTTGACAGACCTTCAGTAAATGTTATAAGCCTTTCATATACAAAATGTCATATCTTTTAGTGAAGTATTTTTAATAAACTAAAAAATGATTTGTCCATAAATTTATCAATATTTTTTTACTAGTCTGCATGCAAAGTGAGTTTCATGTTAAGATTAAAGATACTTTTTTACATCTCAAAAATCTCAAATTTTCTTTGAGTAATTTCTAAAATCTCCTAGATATATTTCAGATGTTTGTTTTCAGTAAAACTTTGTATTTTGTTTGTTGTTTTCTCTACCCTAACTCTCTACAAGGTTGGTCAAATTGGCCAATCTCATAACCACCAAAAAAAATCTAAATTACCCTAAATTACCCTTTTTTTCTTTCTAGAATGACTTTAAATTGTAACATGAAACTACATTTGTTTATCCTAAATAGCTTTAAACTTTTAACAGTAAACGTCAATGTAAACTTTTATTGCTTTGTTGCCCTTTGAACCATATCTAACTACTATTCGCACCATTATAAGTTGTAAATCACTTGGGGAACATGGAGCTTGTGTTATGCTATTGAATTACATTACCAACTAGCTACTCCAAGTTGCTTGTTAATGTGCCTTGTGAAACATTTTTATTATATTATTATTATTTATTTTACCTTAACTGACCTAAAGAGTTAACTTGAGGTGAAAACGGTGTGGACCCTTTTCCTATCATGTGTCAGAGGCTCTATTCCTGATGCTGCTTGGTTTTGGACTGGAGTTGACCGGTCCATCATGCTCTAGCTACTCTACACTTTGGGGCACATCCATTTTAGCTTTCCTGACATTCCTGTCAAAGATAGGTCTTCTACAGGATTGAGATGTTGGTATACTGTGGTTGGGATTTCAACCCAACTGCTTTTCCCTTCTCTTTTTGGTTGTGCTTCTCCAACTTTCTGCCCGTGTATTTCCATACTGAGTGCAGAGTATACCTGGTACAGAAGTGGTACAGCCTCCCACATGTGTTCCTCTCCCAATGGGGATTACACTTCATTGGTGTTCTTTGGACGCTTTCAAAGGATACTTATTTCTATCCCTCGCACTGGTCCCTCCACCTATTCAGTGTGGGATTCTAGCTATACACATGAATGGAGGTAATGTACTATATTGGAAGTTATTATTTTCCTGTACTGAAAATAGATTTCTGATAGGTACTTACCTTTCACACATCCCACCCTTCCTCTCCACTGAAAACCGGTACTTTCTTTTCTGCATAATTTTGAAGTGATAGTTCGGTAGAATCAAATAGAGGGAGTCACATGCATCAGGAGTTTGGTGGAGGGTTGTCGCATGATGACTTATATGTGTGATGCAGTTGAACCACTTTGATCGCGAGGTACATGTGGCATTCGATACAACTTTTGTATATAAAGGACAGGACCAAATGGAAAGAGCTGTACATGTGAATGGTGGTAAGTACCTATCAGAAATCTATTTTCAGTATAGGAAAATGATAACTTAGAGGCTTTTTATTTAAGATTTAGAGAATTTTTAAACTAAACATTATAGCTCCATAGAAAATGGATTACTAAAGACATAAAAGTTTCACTCAGGATGTTTAAGGATGTAAAGGCAAATAATATGAAATAAACAAAATATTTAATCCTTTAAGGTAGTTTGTCCCTAAAGAAGAAAGGTCCACCCTTAGGAAGTGCTCGGATTACAGGGTTTTTATCGTTTTATTGTAAGCTTTCTTAGATATGGTCTCTGTTGATGTATCTTGTTACTTCATAACTTAAATAACATTTGAACTGGGCAGGTAGGGGTATTTACTAATAGATTAATGGATGGGCTCATTAATCTGTTACATTTGATTAATCAATTAGTGCCCTCTCCAGGTTCATTAAAAAAAGGTAGGATACACTACCTTCATAACTTTGTGAACCACTGTACTACTTTAAGGTGTTCTAACATGGTTTTTATCTTCCTATTCTCATGGAAAAACAACAACACATGTTTGCTAAAAAAGTAATTTTGCAGTTTTTTTAAACATAATCTGGACATTTCTTTCTTGATGAATGAATCACCAATATCAGCTAGAGATGACAACAAAATTGCCATTTTATTTAAACATGCAGTAATCTTCCACTGATTTTGTGTAAGTAAAATAAATTGCTAGGGTTATAATATTTTTATTCAAAACATCTTATGATTGCAATTAGAAATAAATAAGTAGCAAGATGCCAATTTATTTTTGTTATGCGTGTATGGAACACATTGTGCTAATATAACTGTAAATTGACAAATAATGATTCATAAGCATAATGAAATGGTTTTATTATGGAGATGTACTATGTTTTGACAGAACATTTGTATATTTAGTCTACTATGATGTGATAGTATGATTTTGATCTGTCCTATCATATTTGAACTTTTGTTATAACTGTCCTCAAAGCTGTGTTTGATTAGTAAATAGATCAAAACACGTGGTGTGGCACAACAACAAGATGACAGTCAAGGCCTGTACAAAAGCTAAGGGAAATGCTTAAAATTCAAGTAATGAATGATATATTCTCAAGAGATGGTAAATGCTTAAAAAAATTAAGTTATTCTTTGGATGGCAGAATAATCCTAAATAAAATTGACGAATGAGTTATTTACAGGTAAAACTTTACAGTTGTGCAGAAATGAAATTATGAATTTTTAAAATTTTTATTCATGAATTACAATAAATGTCTGGAAATGACAAAATGTTACTTCTAAAATATTTTTGAGTTAAAATTTTTTGAATTATGGTTAGAAGTAACATACAATATGGACTTTAAAATTTCTTGTTCTCATTATTTTTAATTGTATCACGTGTCTGCTTTGATGTATTTGTTACCTACAGGTCTCACTCAAGACTGTTACATTATGAGGCTGTTATGCAACTTGTAACTTGTGGCATATTACGCCACTACTTGCCCACATACTGTTTCATGTACCATGCATTCTTGTTGAAACACTTGTTAGAGCTTTCAGTTTTCATTAACAAAAATATATCAACATACAGATGGTTGTAGATGTGTTGTGGCTCTTTGCTTTAACTGTTAAAGTTAGTTTTCATAGATTTCTCACAGAAAGATAAACAGATGCTTAAAACTTGGGTTTATAGGTGCATGGGAGCAGACAGATTTAATCCTTTCAGTAAGAACTGTCGTGTGTTCAGACCACTTTAGTAGAGATGATTTTGAGACTTAACCTTATGGCCCCCAATGCCATTTTTAAATTCCTTTCTGCATAGCTACTGCACTACATTCAACATTTAATTAAACCATTTTACTTTCAATGTATACTAATGAAATTAACACTATAATGTATGTTATAATTTGTATTTTTATGTTAACTAAGTTACAATTCTTTAATTTTAAAGAAAACCTTTCAAAAAATACATAAACTTTAGTTTTTATGTCATGTGACCCACACACTTTTGAAAACCTTGACTTCAGCAGAGGTTCAGTGTTAGCCACATAAGCTGGCAGTGTACATGTAAACTACATATGTTTGACCTACTTGCCATGTGATACCAAAGTCTACAAGCTGCTTTGGTTGGGAAACCCTTAATGAGTGCCATGCCCACCTTCTATACTTTGCTTTGAGATCTACAATGTACACATAGTTAGTAGAAACAGGTGTCTATACTTGTTAGAAAGAGATCAGATTACACTGTACACCACCAATAGTTAATTTGAAATTGGTGTGCAGTTTTCCTCACAGTATACATGTAACTGCTGTTAGTATTCTTGTCTGCTTAATCAACTAAAGCATTTACAGTGGTTTCTTACCTAAATATGCTATAGTTAGAGAGACAGTTAAGTTGTATTTAGGTCTTACTATTATATTTTAGTTAATTATGTATTATTTATATTTTAAAAATCATATTTGAAAAGTCTAATGATTTTTATAAGTTTGACTTGTCTA